CACGGGCCCCGCCCGCAAACGTTCCTGCAGGCCGCAGCTTGGCCCAGCAACCCCGCCCTAGCGTGGCTTTGCTTCGCCCTACTCCTGAAACAATCATACCGCATCATGCCACTCTTCACGAAATGAGTCCTTGCTGACTGTCAAAACATCTAAATCTAAGTAATATCGCCCTATATAGGTCACTGGACTGGTCCGTCACCCAACGCGAGGGGCGTGACCGCTCCTCACGACGCCTGGGAATGATACATTGGAACGACCCGGGTGCGCTCGTTGGCAGGCACGAAGATGCGTGATCAGCAAATCTGGGGGGTAAATTCTCTCCGCTTTTGTATGCCCTCAGTCGGAAAGAGGGGTACGCATTTCTGACATCATACGGACTGTACATACACTAGGTCGTCCATAGTGTAGGAGAAGCACGGGTAAAAGGTATATGGAATAGAGTGTCTTGAGGACATAGCCTGTTTGTGGTTATTGCCAATCTTGGGGGGAAATTTACCCCCCGCTATGTCTGCCTTGAGCCGGAACGAGGGATAAGCATCACTTGAAGCCAGGGGGAGCAGGTCGAACGCTAGCCGAGTCGCACCGGATGTACTAGTTACATAGTCGGCAAAGCGTGTAGGGATTACATGTTTTGGGAGGAAGCTTGCTATGTACATACTTGGCGCTAGAGAATGTAAATGCGACATCGCTGACTGGGCAGGGTACATTGGAACAACCCGGGTGCACTCGTTGGCAAGCACGAAGATGCGTGCTCCGCAAATCTAGGGGGGTAAATTTACCCGCCGCTTTTGTATGCCTTGAGTCGGAAAGAGGGGTAAGCATTTCTGACATCATACGGACTGCACATACAGTAGGGCGTCCGTAGTGTAGGCTAAGCACTGGTAAAAGGTATAAGGACTGAAGTGTCTTGAGGAAATAGCCGGCTTATGGTTATGGCAAATCTGGGGCGTCAATTTACCCCCCGCTTATCTATGCCTTCAGCCGGAACGAGGGGTAAGCATCACAAGGACTGTGCATACACTAGGGCATCCGTAGTGTAGGATAAGCACTGGTAAAAGGTGTCAAGAATAGAGTGTCTTGAGGAAATAGCCGGTGTATGGCTATAGCAGCCAGCAGCACCACGCAGCAGCAGCGCTGCGCTCCTCCCCCAAGAAAAGGGGTCGGCGGCACCAGGGCGGAGCCCTTACTATAACTTGGTTGTGTGGCCGCAGCCCTATCAGTTTGGGTGGAATTCCAAGCGGACGTGACCCAGAATCACCAAAATCACCTGGTTTCCACCAGAAGTTAGTTCACCTGGTTTTCCACCTAAATCACCCTACACAGCTAGTTCAGAAGTCAGCTGGAACCTGAAGAGAAGGAGAACAATGGTCTTTCTAAATGTTCCACCGTCAATCTGAGGAACACCGACCCTCACATGCCTTGGGCTTTCCCAGGCTTTCCCTTCTGCACTACTTCTTCACCAAGTTGCTTGGCACCTGGGAGAAGAAAGGAACGCACTGTGGTAGAGGAAGTTGCTCTAGAGCCATTGTGATTCCCTGTCATCTGAATCTTACTCATTCATCTTACTGTCTCATAGTGTTGTCGTGCTCTTTGCTCCTGGATTTGGGGTGGTCGTGGGCCAAACACGCATTGGTGCGATGGTCCTACCTACATCAACTTCAGCAAGGTCGATAGTTAGCCCAGCATCGGACTTCTCATCTCAGCGATCTTCTCACGATCCATGAGGCACCGAGTCTGCTTTCATGGTGAATATCAGGGTACTGATGGTTTTGGAGGCCTTAGAGCTAAGGCATGCTGCCACTAAAGACCTGCCCAGTTCGATATTCTTGAGAACTGGGGCCTTGCCGCCCTAGCCCGTTGTGCTTTGGTTTTCGTATCTCAACATCCATCCCTCAGCTGGGCAGGGCTGTCTCTCGGCATCTGACTCTGGGGCTGGGCAGAGCTACCTCGGAGATGAGAGCACTTCTGGTTTGCAAAAGCGGTCAGATCTCTTTGTCTCAAAATCGTGAGATCTCCAAACCGGGGATGGGTCAAAACCTGGAGCCGCAACACCATATAGCAGGTAGGTCAACCCAGGGATTCCTGTTTTCAAGAATGGTTCCAATTCTGCGAGCTGCGTGGCCGACATTCTGAGGAAAAAATGAACATCATCAAAGCACCCAAGACAACCGAGAGCTCATGATCCTCATGTTTTGACTTTTGACATGCATACTGCATATACTATATAGAGAATTCGGGGTACCAACCAAACAGCCTGTTCTTTGCCGCGTGAAGGCGCAAAGAACAGCCTCTCAGGAAGCCATTCATACACCAACTGGACACCTTGCTACATCAGCGAACGCATCTACTTGAACTCCCTGGACTCCTGGACCGTACGATGACACCCTTGACACCGTTGACACCGCACGTAACCGGAACTTCAGGCAGCGTACCGTAAGTTCGTATCCAAAAACAACAGAAAACGTTTAAAACAAAAAACAAAAAAAGAAAAACATACTATAGAACATGTGTTTCCAAAAACAAAGCATTCTAGAATTCTAGACTAAACTAAACCTCTTCTAGAACTGTGGGGCTGGGGGCGCGCAGAACATGGCGCCCGCTTCGCGTACTTCGCGTACTCCGCCGAGTGGCTCTTTGGCTCCGCCTGCGAGCGGCGAGAGTGGTGCCCGAGGCTGTGGGCGTTTTCGATTGTCTGGATGTCTACCCGGTGTGGAGGAGTCCTTCGTCCCGAAAAAACGAGGAGGGCGCTGCAACAAGAGTGACAGAAATCCATTTTCTTGTGCCGAGTGGCACACGAGGTGGTAGGAGGACCGCATGCGCCTTTGACGTTGAACAAAAACAGGAAATCCGCTGGAAATCCTCAAAACATCTCAAAATACCTACTCTCACCGGGATCAGCCCAAACGAAGTCTTACCATGTCTTGCCATGATGATGATCACATGTTGCTTTTCCATGCTTTTCCAATCTCTTCCAAGCTTGCCCAGCTGTTTAAGTTTGCTCCTCAGGCTTTACTTCTCTAGCTTTAGCTTCCCAACCTTCCGCTGCTTCACCAGCTTTCCAAGCAGCCTCAGTGTCCTTCCATCTCTCCCCTTCCCGCGCCTTGGCCTTGACCTTCGCTTGAGGCGCCGTCGCAGCGCCTTTGGGCTGGGCGCGCTTCTGTTCCAACCGCCTCGGTCGACCGAGGCCGCTTGGAGGGCGCCGCTGAGGTCGCTGGAGCTCCACCCGCAAACAGGATTTTACCTTGCTGAGGGAAGACAATGGTGTGGGGTGCTGGATAGTACTGGATAGTACTGGATATGCACACTTGATCACTTGAGATCACCCAACAGCGAAACCTGGGCCTTCGGACTGTTGTGCCAAGGACCCCAAGAGCTCGTCGGGAGTGACGGCCTTGGAGGTTCTTGCGGTTCTTGCAACGCAAGCAAAGTCAGCAAAGTCTTGGACGTCTTCCAAGAGCGAAAGAATGAGGTTCATCTTGGTTCCATCTTTTTGTGGAACATGTTCTCTTTCATCTGAGATCCAATAACTGGATCATTTAGAAAGAACTTTCGTCTTCCGTGATGAAACCAATTCCAGTCCCATTGGAGTCTTCCATCACCGGCCGGGACCCCTGGGATCTTGGAGACCTCGCTTTGGTCACCGCCTTCAACAAATCCTCCGAGGTGCTCGCGATGCGCCTAGGGATGGCAGGTGACGGTCTGGTGAAGGAAGGTCTTTCCGGATGAAGCAACATACCAACATGGATTCATTTTTGTTGTTTTGTGTCTACAAGATGCTCGAAAATCGTTCCCCACTTCTGCTAAAGGATTTGTTGATGCATCTTCTCCTGGATTGACCTGATTGGGAACCACCTGATCTGCAGTTGGCACCACACAGCCACACCCAGGCTTCGTCATCCACCGAGATGCGCATCCACATGAGCACAGGGCTGCATGTAGCTCATCAGTGCCTGCAGGCAAGAGAGTTCGTTCAGAGAGTAGATCTTGTATCCCATGTTCAGTTCCATATTATTTGCCTTCAAAGCCAGAATCAAAGTTGCCCCAGGGCTTAGGGTTGGGGTGTCCTTCTTGTTTTGGTGGTTTATTAGACATCATTGCTGGGCGCTGATCCTCTGAAAAGGATCTTTTTCTTCTTCCTGTCGAATCCCATCCTTCCTGGTCCTTCTCGCCTTCCAAAGCATCTCCCGGTCTTCGGTCGAGACGCCTCGCCGACAGGCCAGTTGGGCCGTCCTTGAAAAAAAGAGCTGTCCTTGATGCCTGATCATATGCCTACTTTTCCAACAGTTCTTCTTTGTCTTGCCGGAACGAGGGTCTTGCTAGAATTAAGCAAACCAGTAAACCCATGTAAATGGGCCAACACCGTTGGTTAAATACCCTTCTCGACACACCATATAAACATAATTAGTCGCATGCGTCTAGGCCAACCTTTATCCATGCTTGTTATCAGATCCAACTACATGCTACTGCAAATCGACGGTGTAGAAATCCGCAAAGCCCAAAGATCACTATATCTCCAAGGGGACAGAGGTGCTGTTGGGGGTCCACTCGACCATGTCAAACAACGTACGGATTTCAGCATGACACATTCCTCCTATAAAAATGAAAAAGCACTCAAACACCTAAAGAGAAACAATAAAAACACATTTGTGTTTCCTTATTTTGGCCTCTTTCACTATCCAAACTCAAACGATGTGAGCCAAATGGCTCTGAGCTGAGCCTGTCGCCACCTCCAATGACCAGCGAAATGCCGCTCCCTGCATGACAGGTCTTGGGATGGCTGAGTGGGTGGGAGTGGCGCAAGTGCTTCACTTCCAACGCGAAGCCATGCAGGAACACCTTGATCATCCCTGATCTAAACATCTATATATACGGAATTCTGCCAAAAGATGTGGCCTCTTTGGCGTAGGCTCCCATTTACTGTAGGCTTTGATGGTCAGCGGGTTTCATAGCACGCACAATGCGAGAGACTCTTGGAACTCTATTCTCTGAACTTCTCCATACTCCTCCCTGAAACAATCCAGCCACATGTTCAGGGTTCTTCAGTTCCTCCATTCCTGGGCCATCGTTTTGGCATGAGGAGGGAAACACATGCAGGAAAACAGTGCCTGGTGTATGAAAGCGGCTATGATGCGTGATCTACCGAAACTCAAAGAAACGGAATAAATCGCATATCTACCAGGATTTGTTGGCCTACCATAATTTTGGATAATTTAGGCTCCGCACACTGTCAAGGATCTTCTTCCTGAGCATCCGGGCGGCCAGCCCCACCATGGATTGTGCTAAGGCATCCAACCTCAAGGTGTGCAACACTGAGAGAACACTGGTGATTCGGTGATCGACTATAAATGACTAGTACTTTTGCCGTTGAAAGAAAGCATCTTGCATGCACCAGGGGCATGAAAAAACAAAACTAACATGCAAGGAACACACAACAACAGCATGTTTTTTTGTGGTGTGTTGTGATTTACCGGGCACCCCGACTGCAATAACAAGACCTCACAGCGTTGGCAAGGCTTCGCACGGTCGACCTGGCTTCGCACTGCGGTGGGACGTCCAAATGGAAGAGGAGCAACAAATGCGTTTGGGGCACCGATCTTGCAGGAAAGAAGTAACACATCCAAGGCAATGATCTAACCATCTTTTCTTGAGAAGCTTTCTTCATGACTGACATATATATATATAGGCCAAGAAAACATCCCTGATACCAAAGATAGAAAGCTTCTTCCATATCGGAGATTCCTTCGACTTCCGAGCTCCTTTGGAGAAGTCTGCCCTTTTGAAAGGTTCGTCCCACCAACCAAGCAACAGCTCTAGTTTACCAACCACGAACGTCTTACCCAGCTACCAATTGACCCACCAAGCCACTCGCTCATATCATGGTTGATGCACCCCAACAGCGAGGCGAAGCAACTAATAAACCATGAAAGCTGGCAAGGAATTCACCAAAGAAACAAGCATTCAGCCATCCAACCACAAGCTTTCTTCTTCCCTCCCCTCTCCTTGAGGTTGCTGGAGGCCGCTGATTGCGGGGCCTTCGGGGCAACACACAGATGAATGCCCCCCCGGAGGAGTTGGATGGACTGGGTGACGTGGGACTGTGCAATGAATTGCTTGAACATTCAATTTCAAACACAGGCAGTGAATGTATTTGCATTTGTCTTTCCGTCTGATATCATGTTAAATGTCGCTCACCCACTGTTCCCCAACAAAAAACGGACTTCAAGCAAACTTGGATTGCATTAGGCAGATGTTGCTCGCAAAACAAGCGAAGAGAAGAGTCGATCGCTGCCTCCAACAGCGACTTTGAGGGGGACATATAAATATCCAGTGTTCGCCTATCGTGAAACTTCAAGAACCTCATCCCAGAAACCCACCACCACAACCCCCCCAGATCCCCCAACAGAACCACCAGTCAAAACGCTCATACCATGCCAGATCCTGTGGAATACATCATTTTGGGTTGGAGCTTCTTACTCATCCCCAGGGCCACGGACTGGTCGAACCCCCAATTGGGCCACCGGTCTTTCACCTCGCCGACGGCCTGGCCACGGAGATCCGCTTCAAGAGCCCGTACGGCCTCGGCCACTGAGAGTCGATCTTCCTGAAAGACGAAGAGGATGGCAGCGGGAGAGCTGAAGTGGCGGACAGCCAGGGGCGGGTCGGCGGGATGAGAGTTGTCTGTATCTATACAAATCTGATTGGAGAGGATGCGGGAGAGCTGAAGTGTGGAAAGTCTCGGAAATTGCTGGAGAGTCTTTTGAGGTGCTAGGACTGTATCCAACAAATTTTCAGGATCAGTTTGCCTTTCATGAAACTTACCAATCCCACCAATAATGGTCAGAGTCTTGTGTTTCTACAACCCTGGAAGATCCTGGAAGTCCAGTTCTTCTCACAGGTAACAGGAGCTATCAATGCTATATTATATACTTGCCAAACCAAAAGCGGCCATGATCAATAAACCCAATCAAATCATCACATCAATATTATCCCCGGTACCGCACCCGCCTGATCAACGACACCCGCCGTCCTGCAGGCTCCCCAAGAGCTTCCCCAACAAGTTTCCACCCTCGATGTCGTCGTAGCCAAAGTCCTTAGGGAGACCCAAGATGCATGTCGAGCGAGTAAAATTGCTTCCACACTACAGCAGCAGCACCACCACCAACAACAACAAAAGCTATTTAACCTGGTCATGCCTGGTCTATGATGTCTATGCATTTATAGATTTTATAGAATCTAGTCACTCTACTCACCATAGTCATCTAGTCTCAAGACTTCCCTAAGTAAGTATACTCGCAGTTGCAAGGTAACCATCCAAAGCTCCAAAATATTCAACCATTCCGTGAATCCAAGGCCTTGTTTCATCCGCTTCCCCTCAGGCACACTGCCACGCCTTCATCGCGATGCCGGACGCGGCTACGTCCGAGCCCCACACGAAACGCACCTTTGGGACTTCTGACCTCGGAACGATGATAGGCTTCTGTTGAGTGGCTGGTGGAGTAGGATCTTATGTGGAATGCTGAACTGTAAACTATGAAGTGTATGCTCTGACTAACTCTTTTAGAGATCTTTTGAGTGGGTCTACGAGTCTACTTTAGCTTTAGAGCTCACCTGTTTGTTTCCAATTGCATGGACCACCAAAAGATTAAGCTTCCCCCACCTCCCGCCCCCTTTCCGCTCACGCTCACGCCACCTGTCCACCACCACGCTCACGCCGCTTGTTAGCCACGCCACGCGAACCGCTGGGCGCGCCGTGCTTGGGCAACGTGGCCACCGCGGGCGGCGGTTTGCTGGGCGGTGGGGGTGGAGCCAGGACGACCTGAGACACGCGCGGAGCAAGGCTGGAGCCCGAAGCGGAGACCTCTAGGGAGGGAGGGAGGGAGGGAGGAGTGGTGTTGGCGGCGTGTGGAAGACTTGGACTGAGAGAAGAAAGGGTGGTTGACACTGTTGGCACCGACTGTGACTGTGTGATGATTGAACAAATAGGAGTTGAGTAAAAGTAAAAGAGGAGGACACTTTAATGGAACTGCTTGGGACACTTTCATGGAACTGCTTGGACTTGGGTTGGATTCCTGACCACCAACCTTTGAACTCTAGCCCTGTGTACCCTTGCCCAAATTCAGCAGAACTTTGAAAACAATTGTTCAGAGTTCACATGTATATATTGAAAAAAAAATGGGCCCGGATCAGATGATTGTTTGATAACATCGAACCCCAATTATTGGACACATGTTTGGGGATATGGCCCATATATGGCGGATGGATTTGACTGATCCATGTGTCTCATTGGTGTCCTCCTTTTGTTTAAGGCAAGGGTTCGTTCTGTTTACAGAAGCTTCACATACTTAAAGGATGCAACTCCTCCAAACGCCCCGGAAGTGCGGATTCTGTCTACAATCAAATCATCTTGATGGAAGCACTGGAACCGAGTTTCGTGTTGTGCAGGAATCTCCAGCAGGTAGACAGGTTGAAAATGGTTGAAATGTTGTGGTACATATATAACGGTACAGGTTGACATGTTGCAAGCCCTTCCCCATTGTCTCAGCTAAGTGCATGGCTGCTGGTGCGCGGCCACGTGGCATGGCGTCAAACAAAGAATGGCTCTAGTGGCTCGGCTAAGCAAAGTGGTTCCTGGGACCTATTTTGCCCAATGGGTAGGCATGAGCACACACTTGGCAAAGTGGATAGCAAGCGGGTAAGCAATATTTTGTTGTAATGAAATTAACAAACTTATATATAGTGTTCACTAAATGTTACAGAGTTGCATGAACATATAGCAATATGTTGCTGGTAGCTGAATAGCAATATTACATGTCACATTCCAGAGTTGACGGACCGTGTCCAAAGACTTGGGTCGTTCAATCACCCCGTGGCAAAGCCCACCCTTTCAGCAAGCAATTTCAGCGAGCCTGAATGGCCGATGGGCAAAAACCGATCGATGTCTTTGAGAGGTGCGAGGCGTGAGCTTGCAATTTGTGAGAGCAAATTCATTTAGTTATTGATAGCTTCCCTCAGAAACGCGACCGCCAACCAGCGGTCAACCGCTGGAAACCGCTATGTCCTAGGGATTGGATCAAAGGACCCATCAATGGACCCATGTGTTTTTTTGTTAATGGACATTGAAGAAACTTGATGCTGCAGGTGGAAGATCATCAAGTCATCTATGCAAGTGATTTGTTATGTTGTATAATTTATATATATATCACATTATATAACTATCACATTATATCACTATGGAGTCAAACATATGCCAAACACTGAACCTTCTTGGCCGTTCCTGCTTGCTGTGTTACTTCTCTTCCATTCAACTCCGCCACAGCTGAACCTCCACATCTTCATCTTTCGAGGCAAGCTGAAGGGCAGACAAGACTGCCTGAGGTGAACAGAGACGAGTGAAGAAAGACGCAAAGCGTGGGTCAGAAGAGGGGGTACTCCCCAACTCATATGCTTGAGGGACGCAAACAGCGCCAAGTGGACAAGGGAATTTCTTTGGGTTCCCAGCCTCCCCAGCTGCTCCCAATTCTAAGGGTTGAAGCAGCATAAGCCACTGTTAGCCACCTTACAACCGAGTGCGTGCAAGAGTATCAAACATTTTGAAAAACAAAGCAGGCGATCGTGCTCTTAAAATACGATACTTTAAACACACAACTAATGTACGAGCTGATCACCCTCCCGCTGAAGGTCACTCTTTTCAGAGATTCATCAACTCTGGCAACTCTTCTCCAAATGGTCCAAGTCTAAGTGGCTCCTGCCTCCACTGCCTGCTGCTCTTACCATCCCGAGTGTTCTGGCCTCTTTGCTCTTCAGTGGGGCCACACGGCCCAGGTTTGCCTAGGCGCAATCTCTGGTGAACATCAACGATACCCGGCAAATCATCCAACCAAGCACATGGGAGATGGAACAAAAAGGTAATTATCGATGGTCTGGGCCCTTTCACATCCAATTCTATAATATTCTATATTAATCTCCATCTTCTACCCTTTGGGGAGTGTCAGCCTGATCTCATTGCACATCCTCCAGTCGACCACTTCCATCCACCACACTTCCGTCCGTCCCAGGTGCTGCCAGCGCCAAGCGGACCTGCTCATCCGGGTCACTGGACAGCTCCTCACCGGGTCAGGGCGAGCCGACCTCCCGTCCAACCGTGTTGATTGGAAAAAAACAACTCACTGGCCACATCTGATGTGAATTTAAACAAAGAGAAGCACTCAAACAGTAATTACAGGTTGGCATTATGATTGTGGCTTGTATGAAGCACTGGGGTCAACTCAGACTGAAAGTCTTGGAGGAGTTTCTTGCTTTGTTTTATCTTGTTCCGTCGGATCATTGACCTACCCTTGTTCTATATATCGTGTTTTTTTGCTAAGACCACCTTCCTCTACAAACAGGGGTGCCATCCACTTCCATGCTTTGTGTTTTAATCCATGACGCATTGGACAAACCGCTTCATCAGAGCAACGTGATTCGAAAGCAGGGAGCAAATTTCAGCTTCATCGTCCGCTCCTTGATGCGCCGCAGCCCTTTGCGGTGGCCACCCAAGGCCTGACAGAAAGGCTACATGGCCTGGGGACCACATCAGATCCACATCACTCAGGGACCCAAACAGCAACGGTCTGGTCCATGGACTTCATTCAACTCATGGCTCCACATCCTCCAGCTGGCAATCGCTGCTCATCACGTTCTTCCTGCACACGCTCTTCGAACAGCCGCCTCGCACACGGCCGAGAGTGCCAGCACAGCAAAGCGGCGTACACTCCTGGGCGGCATACAGTGGTTCCAGCAGAGCAAACGAGGGAACCCTTGAAGGAACCCTTTGGCACAGAAAAAATGACCACATGGGCTGTTGAAAGAGAAACAATGAGAAACACGGGAAGCTCGCAGCTGTCGAAGAGAATGGCATGGATGCCGAATTATGACACACCATGATCATCTACTCTTGGGGGAGAAGGTCCAAAGGCAGAGGAACGTCCACCTCTTGTGGGTCTTGGAGACATGGAACTCCTTGTAGCATCTTGTATGTTCTAAGGCACTTTGGAGGATCCTAGCTGGATACCACTTGAGAGGTTCCAACCCCCCAACCCCCAAAGTCTTCAGGCGCAAACCAATGCTCGTGCTGCAGCTTGGGTGAGACTGCCTGAGACGAAGCCGGATGTCCGCGTCGTCCAAGAATTGGCATGAAACAGCAGGACGCAGCTCTTAAACACGATATTGATTCGACGCTGTTAAGTTTTGAGGTTGAGTAACAAAAAATAGAAACATCCACAACCAGATTGAACTTCTTACCTGGGAACAAATGTATAGGCGACCAATCCCCTACTAGACCGGATCATCTTCTGTTGCCATGTTGGCAGTTAGAAGTGCAAACATCTTGCCTCGATGGCAAAGTCCAATTTCCGCAGGCGATCTTGTTTGTCATCGTCCCTGAGCGTTCAGAACACGATGTGTTTCTGGAGGAGATCGTCTGCCATGCTTGGTCCCCAAAAGGGAAGGACCTTATGGAAAAGGCATTTCCTCTGCAAACAGAAAGACAAAACAGTAGAACATTAAAAAGAAACAGTAGAACAAGGTCCCTTTTCTGCCAACAAGACATGGGCGGTTTTCTGATTGTCTTGTGATTTCCTGTGGTTAGTCACAAGACCCTGCCTGAGGAATCCGGTTCACGGGTTAGACAGTTCTTTGGCCAATCACAATAAGCTCTTGGCCATGAAATGAAAACAACAACCAGTAGAACCCAGTAGAACATCACACAGAAAACCACGAAACCAAAATCGGCCTCAAAACCCATCAAAAGGGGTAAACACATGATATGAAGAAACTCGCCATGCGATCCCATCTCTTAGTGTTTTTTTGTTCAGGCTGCCCGACGAGCCCAGTACCAAGGCCCTCATCGCGCTGATGGCCCCCCCTTCGGGGTGCCCAGTCAGGCCTGGGTGTCGGGTGTCGGGTGATGCTGAACCGCATGGTTCCATTCATTGAAAGGAGTAAAGTTAAGGAAGCAAACACTGGTAAAGTGAACGTACTATATACAGTATATACTACCTTTATGGATGTATAATGATGTATAAACATTGTATATATAGAATATACATAATTAGTAATATACAGATATATGATGATATATGCATACACAATAAACAATACACTGTATTATGTACCTGTGATGGACCAGACATTATCTCTGGCTATCTCTGGACCTCTTGGGGATGGTCAACAAAGGCGTCGCCTCCATTCCTCTTTCGGACCAACTCAGGCGGGCGACCTAAAGGAACCCCCAAAAAGGCCAAGGCGAGGTCTCAATGGTTTGCTTCTTCGGATAGCCCTCATGAGCTGAAAGCGCTAGCGTGATCCACCTCACTGTGCCCTTCTGAATACGAACACACTCCCTTGTCTCTGGTTCATGAAAGTGTTTCGCTAGGGGCTAGTCACCTAGTCCCTGAATTAATGAGCGGATCTAACCACTGAACCACTGAACCATCCTCATTGGAAAGGGCAATCACTCCAACTGAAAGGCTAGAAGCCCCCCGGTTCAACTCATAGGCTCTGGGCCAGCGAGGCTAACAATCCTCTAGATGTTCTCATGTCAGTGCCTCTAGACCCGAAGTGTGAATTCTTTCATCTCAATTAAGAGAAACACGAGCTGTACAACACAGTGTGTTGTATCTTTGTTTTCCGTTTGGGGCTAGGCTTGACTAACCCTGCAAGTGCTCCTCCAAAGAAAACACTCCACTTTTTCGCCACGTCAGCTCAAAGGACATGCAGCGACGTGGGGTCTCTGGCAGGGCGACACAGCGCGTACCGCTCTCAGGTGGCATGACACGAAGACAAACTTCGCCAAACTGGCAAGGTTGATGTGGGGTGAAACGGTCCTCACCCTAGCTCATCCCGTTGACTGTAGGGCTGGGATAAAGGCCCCCCCTAGTCTAGCACCCAGGGATTGAACCCGGATCTGACGCATGAGGGATGTGTAATAGCCACAGTCCGACCATACCGGCCCTCAACTGGCAAGGTGGTGAATTGCGACTATGGGACTATGGACCCACTATGGACCCTTGGACCTGGGGTTCCAAACATACACTAGCACCGCGGTTTAAATGATGATATGATTCCCTTTTTCCTCATAGACTCGCTGCGGCCCTGGAGCCACTGGGGCAACATGTCTTCTATCACGCAAGGTCCTCGTGTCTTCAACTTGTCGTCAAACAGTGGGTCCAGGAATCCGAAAACAATACAATTTCAATACAACATCTTCTCATCTCCAAAAGGACAATCACCTTAAACAACACTAGGTTAGGCCCTCAGCACTGAAGGCCTAAAGGGGTCCGAATGTTCTGCCAGTTCTTTGGGCAGGTCAGCGGGTTGTGTCAGTGGGTCAAGAAATCACACCACAGCAGCGACAATAGCCACACCAAGGTCATGTGAAAAGTGCATGAGCAAAGTTATGTGTGTGTCAACCTTTTTGGAGCCAGTTGGAGTAACAACTTCTTCACTTGGTCATGCCTTCCAGACTGATTCTGCAGCAACTACCATGACTTTTAGAGCTACTGCAGTTCACCAGTGCTGGCGTCTATGTATAGGTCGCTTC